GGTCAGCAGACGCAGAAGCCGACTGGGAACATTCTGAAAAATCAAAAGACTATTCCTCGAATGAGAAGGTGCCAGAATCAATGACTCCCTCCAAACTGGCTGTGATTTTGTGCGCCATTAATACATAAGAATGACACAACATTCTTGCCGCCCCTGAAAAGGACTGGTGGAAATTTCCTCTTGTATCCAACTTTGAATGAATGAATAAAGCAAGCGTTTGCTGCATTGTATTTAACTTTCCAAATACCAAATTACTTGGCTTGCGACTTGCGGTGGGAACCGCTTACTTCGAGATTGTCCTTTTGTTCATGAAAAACGTTGGCTACAAAAATTTCGACAATAAATCGTAATCGCATCTGCCTCATGGTATTTAGCTTGCATAAGCAGTCACATCAATAGAAGAACGGCCTATTTGTAAGGCATCTTATCTTCTCAACTCTCATAACTCCCCCGACTGTATCCCCATCCCTCAACCCCTTTTCATATGTCACTCTGAAGAGTTGTAGCTCGATGCTATGCATGATGCTTCTGATTGATGATGCCTTGACACTACGACCAAGATCCAAGGTAGAGGCCGAACCAGAAAATTCGGCTGAAATTGGTTGAACCTGAAGAGCCCGTTAACAGCCCGCATTGACGTTTCTTTGTCGGTCGAGATCGGGCCTTGCTGGAGCATCACTGCCGGTTTCGAAGGTGATTCGGATTTAGAATATTTGTCCTCGAATGTTGCTGAAGCATTGGCCAAAATGGTTCTCAACAAATCTTCTATTTTGCTTATTCGGCCTACTTTTGCCGAGACAAGTAGACTTGTCAGGGGCCAGTGCGACCTGCTTCTTTACTCTGCCTTCCGCCTACACTTTGAGACCTTGTTGGAATTGCTCCCGGACAGCATTTCAAGTGGCCTTTCCACTACATCCGCAACATTTGACCACGGGAACTCTACTTCCAGACGCTACTGCCAGCACTGAAGAATCACACCTACAACTTTTCTGCCGATAAATCTCGCC